GGTTTAAAGGACGTTGAAGACAGCTTTATTTTTTAACGAGAAAAAAATTACTGAAATAGCTAAATCTCTCAAAAAAGTAGGAAAAGCTGAATTTCATAAAGGAGCTGAACGTTTTGATAATATAAAGTTATAATAACTTTGGAAGAAAATTGGATCCTCTCAATGCTTGATAAACATTCCTACAATTACAGAAACGGAGTTAAGAGCTGAGCAGCTCCAACATGAATTAAATTTTTTTTGTTTAAAAACCTTCTCCCCTCCCAAGTTTTACACTGAAATGATCTCATGTTAAGAAACGATGGAGTTGTATTTGTGTCCAACCAATAAATGAACATGATATCTTGAGATGCCACACTCAGARCACTCAGTTTTTAATTAATGAAAATTTGTAAACTTGATAGAAGTGGGACTTCTTACATCATTTTTTGCTGTTTATCCAGATTTATTAATATGAGTTGTTAAATATTCACAAGCCCCCACTTGATGACTAATCCCAGTCTTACTGCAGTGAGTCACTGTCAGATTATGGATTTCTAAAGACTTAAAAATACTGTTTATGACATTTATTGCACAGATTTTGCACGTCTGTTCACAAGTTTTGTTTACATAAATGTCATCACTATTATATTGTGAAAATTCAAAATGTCTCTATATATAATGTAGCTTTTGAAAATTTATACACAAACACGTTTTTTTAATCAGACAAAAGTTTTTATGAGCCCCACTTCGTGCGCATATTGTTTTCGTACTATTTATTTTCATCTTTTATTTTATTTTTTCAGTGACATGAGGTCAACCATATCACGGACATGGCTGCACCAATCAACATAAAATTTGGTAGGAATATAGATGTTACCGACCTACACTGCCCCAGCGAACAGTTTTATGATAGACCCCATATTTGAGAAGGGGGTTCCATCTAAACAGGGGGTGTCTGGACTATCAAAAAAGCTTATAACTCAAAAACTATTAAACATAGGAGCTTCAGATTTTTTTGTTATTGTTTAGCTCTGATGAAGGCTATCCATTGGGCCCACCAATGAATGGTGCGGTATGATGGCCAAAATTAAGATGTGCAACCACATCCTACATCCTTTTAGCAGGAGGCTACTGTATATCTATTCCTAATCCAGCTATTGATCTGAGAGCTGGCCCCGGTAACAGAGCAGCAGCAGCTGGTGCTGGCATGTGTTAATCTGTGTTAGCATCGGAGAGGCTAGTGACTAGCGTGGATAAGCTGGTGTTAGCATACCAATGAGGACCCCCCCCCCCCCACCCCCAAATTTAGATGCATTGGTGCTTTGCGTACATGCGGGGGTCATTTATGCTGCAGTATCTTGGTATTTATCATAGCAGAATGTTCTATTA